GAACTAGGAAGGCCCTGATTCAGAGGCCAAGAAGGCCTAGAAGGGTCTCTAAACCAAAGTCACAGGAAAAGGAGATAGAGGGCTCCTTTTTACCTGTTCCACGCCTTCACGTCTCCCTGAGAAACCAAGACATACCTGCTACTGTTGCAGCAACATGGGTATGGTACACTTAGCTTTCACCATGAACAGAAGTCTACACTGGCAGGGCCGGAGACATCAACATCAAAGAGTCAGAAAGAGTGGCTCTCTAATTGTGGAGGAGCCTGTTGGTATATTTAAAAAGCAACTGGCTAACCTCAACAGCCATGATGCTACAAATCGTTATTTGGCATACCCTTTCTCTAGAGAAGTAGAAAGCAACACAACAGGGCAAAGGTGGTTTCTGTGCCCTTCTAGCCCATCTTTAAAGCAAGTATCAAACTCAGATTCATATATAAAGTTAAAAACCCATTAGAAAACATAAATGTGATATGAAACAAGTATCAGGTAACAAAATATAAAAACAGTACTACAAGGAGAATATGCAGAAATGTAAATGTGTCAAGCACTCATTCTACACAACTAAACACTAAGTTCTTATCTTAGAGCTTGTCCACACAGTGCTTTTGTTTCCAGCCATTCTGGAATCACCCTGGGTCATTCTGGTGTTTTTGTTGTTGTTGTTGCAGATTTGAATAGATCATCCCAATATTGGTGAGCTCACATGGTAAAAGTATTTCTTGCTGGATGAATTGGGATGTCCCAGGAACACCTTATTCACAACATTATCTGGAACTGCACTCTGAATACAGATTACCCTCCTCTTCTGCTTATCTTCTTCACCCTCTCCCTACTTATTTCAGTCTCTCTTCCATTTTCTCCTTGTTTTACCTATCCATAGGGCATGGAGATGCAGGCTGACAGCAGAAAAACACCAGCAAGGAAATGTGATCAAATGATACACACCCACAGAATGCACAGGTCAGCACAGAACAGCACCATAACTAGGTTCCACATGAACCAAATTGTGCACTGGACCAAATTAGAACAGAGCAGAGGTGGTGTTAAAGAAACACAGAGAGCAAGGGTTTTTTTTTCCCCTCACTTTGACTCTGTTGACACTAATAGGTAGAATAGGCCTTCAGCCCTTGGAAATTTTATTCTCATAAATGCTCTTTTATCCTTTAAAGCAGTGTTTCCTAACCTTGGGTCCCCAGATGTTCTTAGACTAAAACTCTCAAAAGCCTTCACTGCTAACTGTGCTGGCCAGTATTTCTGTGAGTTGTAGTCCAAGAATATCTGGGGATTCAAGGTTTGGAAACAATGCTCTAAAGATAATGTCATCCCTGTCCCAAATACCAGTGTCAACCCCAGGTTGCTGCAATTTTGGCCTTATAAACATTAATAATGGCTGGAAGAAGTTATCTGCTTTAGTGTAGAAGAAGTGAAAAGATATACCCACAACGACCATTAGATCCCGGCCGCGAAAGCCTTCGCAAATACATTGAAAGGATATAGTTTGAGATTTATCAATTGCCATAGTTGCAGGTATACCTCATTTAATAAGGATTTTCCACATGAAAGAGAAATGGGGAAGGATCCCCAAATATCTGAAAGACTTCACCTATTCTAGCAAGAGGATATGCCTACTTAAAATTTTAAAAAATCTTGCTCTTATCCTAACTTACAGCCACAATGTATATGGTGATTGGGACCCAGCTTTTCAGTGCCAACACACGAGCAGCTATAGATTCAGAGGTTACCCCTGGAGACACATGACTATAGAAAAACTTAATATATACTCAGCTATGCTGGATATCTTATTTCTGACTTACGGTGACCCTACAAAGTGGTGTCTTCCAAAAGGTCTTATAATCAACAGTCCTGTTCAGGTCTTGCAAACTGTAGATTCCTTTACTGAATATATAATACGCGGGCACTCTCTTTTCTTGCTGCCTTCAACTCTTCACAGCATTATTATCTTTTCGGCAAATGCTTCTTAACACTGATACTTTATTACTGCCTAGTAAAAGTAGAGGTTGCAGAATTTTGCCTTGGCCAATGAATATCTCTGACCACCACTGACTCCTTCCCTGATCCCTCTCCATATGTCAAAAGGTTCAGGGAAACATGTGCAATCTGCTCCTAAAGAGGTCATCAACAAGTCTGAGAAGATGGTTGGAACAGTCCTTCCCCCTCCTTCTTTGGGAGAAATGACCTCTATGTTCCCAGCAAAGGAAGATATATCTAACTCTAGGTCTGGAGTTTGTGCCATCAGCTCCCAAACAGACTTCCAAGCAGCAGCCAAGAACACTGTCCTATTTTTGTAACATTTGCTTGTTTTAGTATTTGAAAAATCTAAGTTGTCGTAGATGCTTTGGCAACATATCCAGGATGGGGAATACAGTATATGGCTCTCCATTCCCATTCTCTTTCACCACTCATAAACCTTGGGCTGGCAGGAGCTACATTAAAACACTCTTTTCTAGACACATTTCCCACTTCTGAAGAATATAAACGCATTCAAAAAGCAAAAGAAACAAACAGAAATCTCTCTACATCTCCATTCGCACTGGCTGCTATGGAGCCACAAAAGACAGAATCATCTCCTTTCGCGTGTGTGTTTAATCATCATACCACTGCACCTCCATCATTCCATAACAGAAAATTATGCAATGAAGGAGCAAACCAGGTGACAGGTTGGGAAATTATCTACGTTTACCAAGTGGCCAAATTGCCATGGTTAGTAAATACACAGCATAAACATTTACTGTTCAGTAGGTCTAAACCGAAGGGAATTTGGCCTCCACTCAAGCCATGCAAAACTTTATTTCCTGAAAAAACATCCTTGAGAGCTTGTTTTAAAAGCTGGTGCTGATAAATATCCAAGACTTAAAAGGCTCCCCACCCCAAAAGATACAAGTGGTGTCTAGTGGCATTGTGTAAGAGAAGAATGAAAAGGACACCCGCCAAAATATTTAGGCATGTTTCTACAGGAAGAAAGCAAAAGAAGGCATGCAAAGATACAGTGAGAAATACAATTCTGATAGTTTGTGTATCAGGACCATATTTCCATGCTAGTACAAAGATACATGTAAAATGTTACTAGAAACAATGTATAAAAGGTTATTACAAATTATGTATGAAAGAAGAGCACAGAAAGGGAGAAGCAAACAGTGGCTGGTCTCTGTCTCCACTCTTTTGTCTTTAGTCCTGGAAAACACTGAAACAGGCTGCTGAAATCCGACCCCATTCTTACCTCCATGCAAGGAAGGAACATTGTTTTGGGAAAAAATGGAAATCATTATACTTGAATACAGTATGTAACTCACGTATCTGAGGAACAGTAGATTAGGTGGGTTCCCCACACAGGTTTAGCACTAATAATGGGACTGCTTCAATGGTTCCCTTCTAATCATTTCTCTTCTTTTAAATCTTAAAACTCTTAGCTCTCATATTGCTGTGTAGTATTTAGCACCTCCCAACCTTCTACCTCATAATGGGAAGGGATGGGTGACTTTCTTGATAAAAAGCAGAGAGCTCAGTACAGTCCTCAGGTATATGATGAGAAGGAATGAAACAGGCACAGTTGATATATGAAGATGAAGCAGAACCTGCCAAGCATTACAACCAGAACTGAAATGGACATACTATTTACTTCTAAATACTGGCAGGAATTCCCCCAAAAAAGTTTCAGTCCACCACTCAGGTATCAGATACAAAAGCTCTAAGCACAGAAAGAAGTAAGATTTTGACTACAGAAACTATCACCCAGACAGCACCAGTGGACAGAACAAAGTTGTTCAAAGAAAAAATATAATATATATATAATCTCTTCCTCATATATACTTTGGGTTTCTACCTCCACTATATTTTAAGGTTGCCAACTTGTCAACGACAGGAATATCAGTTTTTGTTAGTGTTTCCACTGTTAATCTATCTTTATACTTTCACATTTAAAACTACAGGCAGAGAATTGAATGGCAATTCACCTGTCAGATATAGCCAGTTATTAAGAAGGAAAATGATGCCCGTGTTGGTATGTCCCCAGTCTTGTCAAAACACAACAGCTGCAGCAAATTCTCCTCAGTATTTGAAGTAACAAAAGAGAAATATTTTCCCCTGCCACGCCTCAAATGGTGTCTAGCAGCTGAATAGCAAGAAATCCTTGTCATGGCAGGGTATCAAATCTCACCAGTCCAAAAAGAAAAGAAAAGAAAAGTAAAAGCTTACGTACTGGGTAATTCTGTTCACGCAAAGGTAAGTCCCACTGAGTGGGAATAAAACTATGCCATAAATTCTCAGTTGTATAGATGTTTAGCCTCGTTTTAAGGAAGGAAAAGGGAGTGGTATTCTAATCTATCCAAGTAGAGGTCTAACAAAGATTCCGTTGAGTTTAGGCAAAATCTGCAGTTTCCTGTTAATTAATTCCCAAATTGATTTTCCAGCTGCAGGCTTCCTTTCCATCTGTTACCTGAGAACAAAATTCATAATACCACTGAAAGGGCCAAACTTGACATAAAGTGGATACAGTGAATTTGGCACCTGCCAGCTCTATAAAGAAGGAGAGAAGTGCTGTTTGAGGGTGAAACTAAGCACAACACCTGCGAAACATCAGCAACACAGTGAATAGCTTTTAAAAAGTATATAATGCATTCAAGAGAACAACCCAGATTGAGACCTCTGGTGGGTAAAGTAACAATCCAATACAGAATTAAGCATCATTATGTCTATTTACAGATCCAGTTGGATGTTAGTCATCATTTGCTTTAAAAAAAAAACCTCTATGGAGAACCTGGCAAATATTTGTGCAAAGCTTCAGAATACCAAGATCATTTTGCAAAGTTGCAAATTGTTACACAGGATTATTTTGCCCCATCTTATATTTAGTGTATCAATCCACAGAAAGAAATTTCTTCAAGAAGAAGCTGTGGGAAATCAGCCAAATACGCAGGACTACAGTCACAGTCAAAATCAGTGGGAGACACATGTGTCATTCTTTCCATCAGAAGCCACTTTACCTGCCCACAGTCAGGGTCAGTTCATCTGTGCAGCCCTTGATTTTGTTCTGTGCTTCTAAGTGAGTCATGTTCTCCGTGTTTTCCCCATCAATTGCCATGATTACATCTCCAATGCACAGACTGGCAATGGCAGCTTTGCTGCCAGGCGTCACCTGGAAGGAGACAGAAGATGAATCATAAATGCTTCACTAATCTGTAAGTGTATCATCCAAACATCTTCCTTAAATGTGCAGCGGGTCTCCACATGCAGCTTAAGAGATGACAGCATACCTGGAAGTATGTGTCTTGCTGTGCTCCCCCATCACCTATCCCATTTCTTGATGCAGTAGGTAAACATTGCAACTAGAGATGGGGGTATTCATATTTGTATGCAAATCCAAATACCCTCGCACAGGTGGACATACCAAGGGTCCAGTCCCCTGGGGCTGGACCGTCCACTCACCTTCCACTGTTGCTGCGAGCTCCACGCTCCCTTCCTATTGCTCCGGAGCTCGCAGTCTGCGAGCCACTCCTGGCAGGAGGCAGGAGGACGAGCCTTGCTGCAAGGATGAAGAATGGCTCACAGACTGCAAGCTCTGAAGCAATAGGAAGGGAGCACAGAGCCCATGGCAACAGCGGATGGAGAATAGACGGTCTGGTCCCAGGGGACTGGACCCTCATTATGTCTACCTGTGCGAGGGTATCTGTATACGAATACACCCATCTCTAATTACAACTATGCCTCCAACAAAACACCACAGGAGGAGGTTTTCAAAATAAATAACCACACTGTATCTGGAATTCCCACCCTTGTCTGATACCTACCCTATTCCTATTCCACTGGGATTGGGGACGAAGAGGGATGTTGACTCACCCTCTCTAAAATGATTCAACAATTTTGTAGACACTGAAGGCCGCTTATCTGGGATGCTCAGCCATCCTGAGCAGTAAGGAACTTGGCAGTCATTGTGGCCTTTCTTATCCAAATACCAGATACAGATCTAAACCTATGTATTAATTCTGGAGCTGGACTGAAATAGTTTCCCATTCCTAGTTTGAAAAAGAACTCAGCATAAGAAATATCACTGGCTTGAATTTCATTCAGATTCACTAGGCCAAAACTGCAGATCAGCTCAGTTATCCATTTAGATGAGTTTGCACAGGTACATAACATAAAAATGTACCTATTTGTTTTCATGAAAACTTACACAGAACACAAGAAGCCTTGTTTGCACCAGAATTCCTGTCTATACCCATTTTCTGGCACTTTCCTGGCAGATATGAAGAAACAGACCTTGGGAAATAATTTTTTTCAGACTACAATATGCAGAACCCTAAAACCAGAATAGCCACTGGCCCACCACTGGGGATTATGGCAATTGTAGTCTAAGAAGGTAACATTTATAAGCTCCGCATAGATCTCCTCTGCCAAAGAGCCCTACACAGTTTTCATCATTTACCCCCACTGTTCTAAGAAAAGTTATTCTATACTAACAAAAACAACCTTCAAATAAAACTGTTAAGGCAGTGTACATTTTTTGTCAAAGGAGAAGCATTTACAATGAGAAGTCTACTTTCTAAAATATATTTGAGGGCACCAAAATGTATCTTGAGGACCCCATTTTCAAAATCTCTATTTTGCAGAGATGGAGAACTGGCACTGAATACTTGTCCTCAGTCATAAATTCATGACTAGAGAGAGGCCATTTTTTCCCCAGCATTCTCCAAGAATTCCCCAAGTAGAGTTCTGGGAGTTCCAATCCACAAACGGACACCTTTTGATGCCTGGACATCCCTCACCTGGAGCAGGGCCCGGCCCTCCAAAGCTACATTTCAGGCCTTCATTTCCTGCCACAATGCTTCCTGGGAGCACACTGCGGCTATTTTTCCTTAGTGTTATAGTTATTTGGGAGGCGGCATCCATACAGATCCATAAGAGCCAAGATGCCAAAGAAACATTACAGCCTCTTCCTCCCAGGAAACACTGCATCAGGAAATAAAGGCCTAGAATACAGCCCATGCCTTGCTACAGGTAAGGGAAATAAAGGCATCTGAAGGTGTGGGTCTGTGGGCTAGAACGTGGGAGAATTCTACCTAGAAAATCTCAGAATTGAAAAAAATCCAAATAGTCATGACGATGGAGGAGTTTTTTTTTCATGTGACAACATTCTACCCATCCACACTCACAGTCCCACAAAATCACCCTATTTTGAAAAATCTCTTTTTGAACAGCCTGAAGTTAGACGGCAGAAAATAATCAACAAAAACCAAGGCTATTTGAGAGTGGGTGTGAAATCTGACTCTTATTCACCCTTCTTCAAGAGTTAAAAAAATTGTGTGGAAATTCTTCTAGTACTACTGTACATGCTATCACAGAGACTTCCTAAAAGCGAGCATTTAATTGTGAAAGTTTGCCCTGACATGTCCAATACTATCTCCTTGGTTTATAGCGGCTATCTACCGAATAGGCAAAGACCAAGGTAATACCAAACTTTAACATCAGAACTGCAATTGTGATTATGTTGCCGCTTTTGATGGCTATAAATGCAAGTTTGTGATCTGAAAAAAGAAAAGACATCCACATTTCTCCAATCCACTGCTCAATGTACAGGAGGTCTCTCCTCTGCATGGCCTAACAAAGGGGCTGAAAGAGCTACTGTAGGAGGAACTTCCTAACTCGACCTAGAGGAAGGCAGGAGAAACTGGGTGTTAAAACTTCATGTATGGTTTGGCACAGGTTTCCTGTACCAAGTGACTTAGGCTTAAATTGGAAGCAGAATTGCTCTCAACAGAAGTAAAAACAAAGTAAAGCAGATTGCTAATATGGATATAAAATAACACTTAAGAAAGGTATTATTAAGATTGCGAAGAAAATAAATGTTTGGTGGAAAATAAGGAAGAAAAAATGTTAAAGACTTACTGTTTTGCGAAAGAGATAATAGAAAGTTATTTTGGTTATGTGCCAATATTGTGATAATTATTTACTTATTTTTATAATTTCTATTTTCAATGCAATAAAAATTAAGTTTTTTTTAAAAAAAAACTTCATGTACAGTGGAACCTCGACTTACGAATGTTCCTGGCTATGAACAGTTCGACTTATGAACCACTCCATTCACAAAATTTTGCATCGACTTGCAAACGGAGCTTCGACTTACAGACAAAAAAGTGTTCTTTTTTAAAGGTATTCTCCTGCCCTTTTTTAAAGCTAAAAGGTGCTTGGTTTTGTTTAAAAGGTGCCTGGGTTAAAAGGTTTTCTGTTTAGAAGGTGTTCCCTCCCCCCCCTCCTTTCCTGTCCTTTTTTTTACCAAAGTTCATTTTAGATCAAAAGAAGAAAAAATCCTCCCACTAGTGGTAGAGTACGGATTAACCGGCTTTGCTTCTACTTGTGAACGGCGCCTCTACATAAGAACCAAAAACAGCCGGAACAGATCAAATGGTTTTCAATGCATTCCTATGGGGAATTTTGCTTCAACTTACAAACATTTCGACATTCCAATACGGATTAAGTTCGTAAGTCAAGGTTCCACTGAATGTTTTTTATCATGGGGGAGGGGGCTGGAATGCAGTGGCGTAAATTCAGTTAATAGTCCCAACTAGATTAAACCCATTGAATCAAAGGGTTTGCAGAAATTCTGACTCATCTTTGAGCAACTGATTCAATGGTCTACTTTAGTAAGGCAAATTGGACTTACAGCCATGTACAGCTGTTATCCTGTTGCAAGTCCCAACTAGAGCAGACCCACTAACTCAGTGGGATCTATATAAGTGTTGGCTTATCCTTCAACAGTCAATTATACTCTCTAGATGAGACTAGCAACAGGATAACTACCCTAATTACTTATATACTGCACACTTATAAGAGCATACATATAAATATTATTTTACAACTAATGAATACAACTGTTATTGTACTGAAGTATATTGGGAAGAGCAAAGAAAGGGAAAAAAACAACTCATTTCTTTTTGGATTTTGATCTTTAGCAAGAATTTTAATAAAATGGTGTATTCAAACTTAGTAACCCCAATTAAGAGATGACAAAGAAACATTATCTCTAACATAGCTTGTATATCTTTGAGAGAAAACTGGAAGGCTTCAAATAAGCTCTTTTAAATCTTAAAAATTTAAAATATATAAAGTAATCAAACTTAAGCTCTTCAGAAGGGCAAGCTATCCATTGCACCAAAAGCAACAGGAGATGTTTTGGCAACTTTGTCTAAAAAGAATTATGTACTGTAGCAACCCTGCCCTCAAAAATGTATGTGGCAGTGCATTTACTGATCTCAGGGTTGACACAGTCTGAAACAAAGGACCGGGATATCCATGGCGAAGGATGGAGGCTATCAGAAGGTCATGGAAAATATGGGAGGAGAGAATGGCTTCTAAAGATACTGGGTTCCACTGACATCAGTGCAAGCTACAAATGAGCTACAAACAGGGAGAGAAGTAGATCCTGAAAAGAAAATGTAAAGGATCACAAGAATACAAAACTGGAGTCGGGTGGGGGGTTGTGGTTTGTCCTAGCAAAGGTGGATCCCTTTGTTCAGTAATCCCTGTGGATTACTGAAAATAACTGAGACTGATTAAGTTGTTTTATTTTATTACTTCAAATGATACTTTAGAAGTTTATTGTAATATGCCTTTAATAAACTTTAGAAGTTTGTTTTAATACGCCTGGTCACAGGGAGAGAAACCGTGTTCCTTCTGATTTATTATTTCAAATATTAATTATGGCGTTCGAGGCAGCTTGGAGCCGGCCTCCCCCTCTCCCTCCTGCGGTTTCTACGATCACTCTCGGCAATTTTATGAGCAGCTATTAACTCTCTCTCAGCTTAAGGGCATCTCCTTCCTTAGACGCAGCGCACCGGCTGCTGAGGAATCAAAGAAAGCAGGGCTGACGTCTCTATATCCTAGCCTGCCTGCCGGCTCCTCTCAGAAACCCGAGGACCCCACTGGGAACGAGAGGCTCAACGACCAGGTCCGGCCCCAGCTCTGAACCAGGGACGGCTCTCCGCTTGCGCCGAGGTCGCGCGGTTAATGGTTAAAGAAGACGAGCCGAGTTCACGTCGCCCTCGGGCGGGACGCCCTCCTGCTCCTCGACCCCCCCCCTTCGAAAGGCTTTATCTCTAAAGGCGGAGAGGGGCCGCGGCTCCTCAATGGGAGCCGGGAGTGCGCTTTGCTTATGCCCAGAAGTCCTCTCATCCCTCCCCGACCCACCCCGCACCACGGTTTCGGGCATTCCCGAACGTCTGGCTCCGCCAAGCGAACCCCGCGTGGCTGGGAAGCCTCCCTTACCCTGGAGATGGTCAGCGGCTGGTCGAAGTCTTTGCCCCCGACCAGGCGGAAGCCCCAGGGCCCCGGTCCTTCAATGGCGACGCGGTGGGTCTTGCTCATGCTGCTGGCTGGCACTGCCGGCTCGAGTCGGGGAGCGGCTGGGCTGAGCGACGGCGCCTCCGCGCCACGCCCCGGGGCGCACACTCGGGCGTAGCCGAGCTGCCAACCAGGCGGTCTCCGGAGGCGAGATATTCCCCCGGAGACAGAAGCGTCGGCCGGAGCCCTTCCCCGTTCCGCCCTCACTCCACCCCGTGACGCCAAGCAGGCCAGGAGGCGCGACCCGGCACTCTCCCCGGCATCCCCGGAGTCCTCAGGAGGAGGGAGAGCCGCGCGGCCGCCCCCCGCACTACGCAGGCTTCCGACGGGGCGCGGCGGAGGGCGACCAGGGCGGCTCTCCTCCACACGCCCCCCCTCAGAAAGAGGCCGGGGCGGACAGAAGCACACAACACAGAGGGGGGGGCGTCATGGCCGTCTGCTCTTCATTGGCTGCGTTCGCGATATTGCTTTAAAAGACCTTTTCCCATCGAATAATGGAAACTGCAGAGTAATAGATAATGGACTGCAACCGTTTAAGCAAGCAAAACAGCCCAAAGGGGCATGTTGTGGAGTGGGGCTGTTGTTGGCCCTGCTAATAATGGGAGCGCGCCCTTGCCCAGTGGCCCTTGGGAGCATCAGGGAACAAAAGGCGGGCCAACTGAAGGAGCAAACCTTCCACCCTCCCCTTCGGGAGACCGAGTGAAAGCCAGAACAGAAAGTGCCGGAACAAGTCCACTGTGGCCACAGCATTTGATGCCTACTGGCTTGGAGGTGTAATGTTCCAGGACAGTACTGTATTGTAGAACGGAATTCTTTGACATTTTCTTTCATTGACCACAAAATGCCCAGAAAGCATCCAAAATGGAAAAGAAATGTCTTGGAATGCCCACAGCTGAACAAACCAAGGAGACCCAATTTCAGCCATGAATACTTGACTAGGTGGGAATCCATACTTAGTATTTGTGCAGAGCAAAAAATACAGTGGGGGCTTGACTTAAGAACGATACTTGACTAGGTGGGAGGGATGCAGCTGGTCACAAAACCTCCACAGAATCCATACTCAGTATTTGTGCAGAGCAAAAAAATATATCAATCTTTGTTTCATAAACCGTATTCTAAGAAGTGGCCCAGAACTGCGATTTTCCAGCTTGCCATGCTAACCAAATTCACCAGCCCTGCAAGACTAGACAAAAATGATGCAGGGGGAAAAATACGCGCACACACGCTCACAAAATCCACTCTAGCACTGTCCCCAGGCCCAAAACTCCATATCTTGCTGCATCACCCAATAGTGTGTTTTTGCTGAATTGGATTGATCTGGCTAGCTGGAGAGTTGCCATCCCAGACTGTTTTTCCAGAATATGTATTTTATTTGTTTGCATCTTTTAGCTCAGAACTACCTTGCTTCATCATGCCCTTCCTTAGAGCGAGTGAGGTAGCTCTGGAAAAGACCCATGCACCTTTTGTGACAGTAGCAAATACTGTGTAATGTGTTAACAACCAACATTCACACTCCGAAGAGTGTTTGCCACTGGCCCCGAGGTGATGTTCCCACATGATGCTCTGAGGCAATCATGGCCTAGTTGCCCCAAAGCCTGACTCTCAGGAAATCTGAGACATTACGGGGACATGCAACACCCCTGAAGAGATTGTAGGAGTATCCACACTATGGCCACAGCTGCTGCAGCAGATACTGTTTAAAGCAAGAGGGAGGGGGGACAGGTTGGTACACCAGGAGGTGGCAACTGGTCTCCTTTAAATGGAACAGCATGGAATGAAGGCCCCTGGGATATAAATCACTGCACTATTCCTTCTGGAATACATTTCAGAAGTGTGGCTCTCCCTGGCATGTTCTTCAAAGAATCCATGGCTTACAGTTAAACCTGTTACCATGTCATTGGGTTAGATGACATCTGAGGTTCAGGTTTTTCTGGATGAAGCCTGACTCTCAGGAAATCTGAGACATTACGGGGACATGCAACACCCCTGAAGAGATTGTAGGAGTATCCACACTATGGCCACAGCTGCTGCAGCAGATACTGTTTAAAGCAAGAGGGAGGGGGGACAGGTTGGTACACCAGGAGGTGGCAACTGGTCTCCTTTAAATGGAGAATGCCTTATACGCAGCACCCCTGAATAGATCAGTAAGCTGGCATCATTATCCCTGCAGCTAAATAGCATCTAGCAGCAAACAACTCAGGGGTGGCCATGACAGCATGGAATGAAGGCTGCTGGACAATGTGAATGGATAGGCACCTGAGATATAAATCACTGCACTATTCCTTCTGGAGTACATTTCAGAAGCGTGGCTTTCCCTGGCATGTTCTTCAAAGAATCCGTGGCTTAGAGTTAAACCTTTTACCATGTCATTGGGATAGGTGACATCTGAGGTTCAGGTTTTTCTGGATGATACAGATATTCTCAACCCTCTCTAACCTAGATTCACACCCACTTATGGGACAGAGATAGACCTTTTTGTTTTTACATTGGTAGAAGATTGATATCAGGGGCCAAACGAAGGGAGGCATAACTGTTACTTCTGCTGGATATTGTAGTAGGCTTTTGTATGGTCAACTATGATCATCTTCTGGGCTGCATAGTGGAACACCATTATTCTGTGATTATTTCAACCCTTCTTAGAAGGATGGTTACAGAAGACGGGGCTTTAGCCATTAGTTTTTGATATTCCATAGGGTTTTATTCTATCTCGCATGTCATTTAACATCCGTAGGACACCAATGTCAGATTCCGTCCAACATTTTAGAGTATGATACAACTCTGATGGGTACATGAATGTCACTTCTCGCAGCTCTATTCCAGATTTCCATCACAAACCATGTAAGCTGTCAGGCCTTAGTACTGGAATGGATGAGGGCAGACAAAATGAGGCTTAATCCTGACAAGTGCTATGGCCACTACATAGATATAACACAGTATTACATAGATTTCCAAGGTGTGTACCATCTGGATATGGGTGCAGGGCCACCTGAAATTGGACGCCAGCCACTTCAGTTCTTAATCATGGCATCCCACTAGCAACATTTAACAGCCAGCGTGGGAATGTGCATTTCAGCACTTGCCTACATTACAATTTATCCCATAGTATTTGCAGCAATTACCTAACTTGAAATTGACTGTGATATTTTCTTCTAATTACCTGATATAAAGGTAGTGTGAGTAAGCCCAGTCCTTTTTCATGGTAATTCATTGTATTTTGCTCTTCCATTAGGGGGTTCTGCTTTTCTTGTTGCAATTCTCCCTGCATTGTTTTGTCCAGATTTCCAATATTTGTGATTGCCTATATCAGTGTGTCCTAGGTAATGTCTTCTGTGGAGTGTTATGTGACAGGGATGCTGAATCCTTCCCCTCAAGTGAGTACCTCTTCTCTTTTCACAGAAGAGTTTTTAATGGGTCTGTTAAATACAGCGCTGGTTCAGATCGGTGCTGTGTCAGCTGAACACTTCTCCTGAGTTTGCAGCCAATCTGATTAGAGAAAAGAGACAAGCATTCTCTATTCTTCTCTTCCCCTCCTCCACCACTGATATATTGAAGTCTGAGCGAGGGGGAAGGGAGGATGAAGAAAATGGGGAAGAGAAAGCTAAATGGGGGTGCCCATTTTTTTCCTTTACACATGGATTGCTGGCCAGCTTGCTATTACAAGTGGAATACACATATTGTTATAGAAGGGTCTAAAAAAAATAATAATAAAGAAAAGCCAGGTTATGAACAAGAATGCATGGAGTGAGCTGTGATCAGCAAAACAGGCCTCTTTAACAATCAGGATAAGGAAAAGGGAGAACTGAGAGTTTCATCATATGAATTCAGATTCTATCTCCTCTTTTTTTAAAGGGAAGAGAGGACAGATGAAGAGGGATGGAGGGAAGGGGTGATGAAGAGGGTGGTTGTAAATTTTGTGGCCTTCTGCAATGAAGACTATTTCAGTTTTCTGTGTGAACCGCAGAACCAATTTCAGGAGCAGAAACTGGTTTTAAAAACCTTCAGTCTACCTGAATAAATGTGCGATAAGCTCTCTGTGCAGTCATACCTTTATATAACAGGATGTGTGTATTGAAGATCCATCAGCCTGTCTCATATTTGGAGAGTTTAGATTAAAGAAATAGGAACATTGGTAAAGGAGCACTTCACACACAGAAACACTTTGCACAAAAAGCCAGTGGGAGCCATAAAAATAGGAAGGGTTAGTTATACAATCAGACACCCAAGAGAACCTCAGCACTGCTTTCTCAGCTGAGGGATCTGAGGACAAAGCACACTGCAGAGGCTGGATGTACGTATTTGAGGTCCAATGATTGCTGGTATTAAAAGGAAGAAATGCCAGTAGATGGCAGACTATGGCCAGAAACTAGATGAGTACAGGCACGTTAAATATGCTAGCATGGGGGAAGACTTCTTGACAAAGCAACAAAATGGGAAATTGAGACCTCAGGAGAATGGTTGGGGTTGAGGCGAATGTCGTTTCAATGTTGCCAAAGTGAGATGAAGGAAGACAGATTTGAAGAAGATAAAGTGTGGCCCACAATAAAATTAATTTTACTCTTGCCTCCCATCTGGCTTCCTAACTCAGTGCAACTGTCTTCCAAGTATGGGAACAACTGCCAGACCCTCGAGAATAGGTCAACAGTCCCTGCCAGTAATCGCATTCAAGAAGGAGCAGAGCCCAGAACTTTTTCTATGCGTTACATACATTGGAAGAGAAAGCTACACACCGTGGGGTTATTCAGAAAAAAGGTGTAGGTTGGTATCTCCCCGTCAAGATTATATGCATGGGGCTGAGCATTTCCCTGGTCTAGGGAATCTGTCCCCACACCCACACCCACAGCTCATAGTGGGTATAGCTCATTTAATGCAATAATTTTGCTGGGAAACAGCACATGAGGAACCCATACCTTGCTTCTCTCCAAAACTGCAGAATTGTTTTCTGCTGGGAAGTGCGGTCTATGCTCTCTTTAGATCGTGCTTTCTACTTTACTTTACTTTACTTTACTTTACAGTCTGTGCTCTCTTTAGATCGTACTTTCTACTTTACTTTACTTTAATTAGATTTATACCCCACCCCTCTAGCAACTTCTAGCAATGTTGCTTAGATTTGGACAATAGTGGGAAGGGATGTGGGACACATAGATTATGGGTTTACATATGTTTGTGCGTGCGCAACCCACAGGACACATGATGTCCACTCCTGCCAAAAGTAAGGCTGCAGTTATATTCCAATTATTTAGACGTTAAAGTCTTCAGCAGAGGTAGGTCCCCTTGAAAATACTTATAGTTGCAGAGGGTGGTTTCAGAATCATGTGAGACACGTCTCTCTCCATGCAACTCACAGTTGCAGAACGGA